ACTAGGGTCGGAATAACAGTTATCTTCGTAGTCATTATCGAAACGATGGTAACGACGGAAACAAACGAAACAAACTCAACTACTAATGCCTTAGTAACCTTGTGACTTTCCCTGATCTAAGTGAGAGTCATGTGCTTCCGGTAGTATAGACATCTACTACCTTTCACACAAACTCATACTTGTCCCAAGAATTGTCTCACAATTCACCACGTCACCACACAAGAAAATCATATAGCAACTCAACACATCGGGTATGTAACATATTCAAGGATTATATTATTTCTTGAAAGCAATTACAAGATTTATTTATACTATATGCCCATTACATTAGGCCACACAGTATAATACTACTTATTTATTTCCTTCCCTCAAGTACTCCAAACAAGCAGCTCCAAATTCCCGTCCTCTTGCTTCCTCATCAAGTATCATGTCGTATGCTCTAGCCTTTGGCTTTGGCGGCACATTTGTCGTTGTAGTCCCTTCCTTCAGGAAGTCCTGCTTGAAGTGTCCTTCTTTACCACACTTAAAGCATATTTTTTTCTTGGTCGGGTATTCATTGACATAGTGACCTGTCTTCCCACATTTGATACACTCTTAGGGACTCATACATATATTAAAAAATCTAGAAGCCAATTTGTAGTTGTAATAAATACTATGTTGTCGGCCTACTCTAAATTTGGGTATTTGAAATATGTGATACAACTTAGATAAATTTGAAGACACGCCATCTGATATCAGACAAAACAGTGTGTACGTAACTCATGGATTGGTGGATGAAGCGGTTAAATTTTTAGAGCAATCACTGGATGGAGTCTAGACGAAATTATATTGCTATCACTTTTGGATGTTTTTGGTCACACGGAGAAGATAGAGAAAGTAGTAGAAGTATATACAAGTATGTTTAAAAGACATGGTTCCCACAAAGCTCGAAGCATTTTGTTTGTTTGGTAGATGCTATATGCAGATCTAGCAAGTTTGACAATGCAACTCTATTCATTTCATTAGTAAAGATTCATGATCGTGATGTATTTTGGAGAACACTACCTATTTAGGGTGACATCTATTATGATGTTGAAGTTGGCTTTTGGGGCTTGGATAAAATTTCTAACTTGAATGTTGAACATTTTAGGATTATAGGACACTTATTCTTCAAGATGAAAAGATACTTAGACTAATAAGAGAACGGTGAACGCCCATGGAGCAGCATTTGAACAAGGCTGAGTTATGATGAATACAAACAAGTCAACACCTAAATGGCTTTTGATCCGATGTGGTAGTCCACATAGAGTCTTTACACGAGGGCTAATCTAAGAAAAGTTAATACCACCATGTAACTTAGGTACATCATTTCATCATCAAAAATTTAGTAATATATCCGATAGTATGTGTAAAAATGGTTCTCAATGTAGCATAAGAGTAATACGTGACCGATTAAACCGACTTCTGTTAAGTAATGAAGCTTGTGTGGAAAAAGGGCTAAACCGGGAACAAGAACAACCATTGCTAAAATGACATCAACAACTATAAGCTTGCAGAAGGTTTTAATGACATGCCTGCGAGACAGATTGAGGTTCCAAAAATTATGTAGGACAAACCATGTCACCATTAAGCTCCTGAGTATTAAAAAGGGGAAATAAGATAAGATGACAGACTCTTTTTTGTGAAGAATTGGGCTAGATAGAACCCAGCTACTGCAGGGTGTGGAAGGAACTACAACATAATAATGAAAAATTAATAGTACTTGACAACCGATCAAATTTGCATGTACAAAATACCTACTAAAAGGAAACATTTCAAAGTTAAAATGTTGATGAATGTGAACTAATCTAAGGAAATTGGTTGGGTTCTTGTTGGTTTGGATCGGACATGATACAAGATCAAAACCTATACAGGGTAAGAAAAAGTTTGTGTGGATGTTAATTAAAGTAGCTGTTTTAAGATGTTTGGTCCAAGTGATTAATTTTGGCTTAGTTTTGTTTAAACCTTAAACACACTTTGATCGTTACTTAATATGGTTGGACACTTATTAACTAGCCACTTGGAAGAAAATTGAAGGGATTGACAGCTCAGATTCTTATAAAAAGCAATGCCCATTACTGGGTGAAGAGAAAAAGACACCCAGAATTACTTTTAATAACCAAACAAAACTTACAAGGTAAAGCATAACTTTAAAATCGTGAAGGCGCAGTTGAAGGAGAAAGGCATGACATAAATAAAACATAACCTTGATATGAAGAAGAAAAAAGAAAAATAGCAGTTGACTGAGAATGACATACCAACACATGAAATCCTACAACGATTGCTCCGGCAGTGCTCACAAAGACGGCCAAACCAGTGAAGGCCAATGAACCGGAAACATCAGCAATCATGCCCATTTCATAAGCACCAACACCAACCCTCCAAGCATGGTTGCGGTGAACAGAAGATAACTCAATTCCCAATGAACTTGAATATAACGAGCAAAAGAATAGAAAGTAACCCTGACCTCCAAGCAAATGACAACGATACTTGAATACTTTTCAATCCACTTCTTGCTTCAATTTGAAGGATGAAACGCGAGGACTATAGTACAGCCAGTAGAAATACAGTTAAATGTCATGTGATAGTAGGAAGCACTTACCATACCAACAGCAGAGACAGTTGCCCAGTTGAAAAGAACCGAAGCTATGAAAGGGATGCAAGCAAAGAGAAGGCGTTCGAGAGAGAGGACGATGGTCGGGAGCTCGATTTGAATCCATTTAAACTGAAAGGACGCCCAAATGCCAATTAGAAAATTAGCCAGGGCGGATATGAAACAGGCAAGCAGGCCGATAGGAATCGAATTGAAGGTCATGAACAAAGACAAACTGAAGGAGAAAGTGATTTATTTGTGCAATTATGAGAGAAAACCAGACGACGAAAAAAGGAGACGGAAGTTGAGCGAATCGAGAATGTATGCGATTATAAGGCCTAGGGTATTGGGGCGGCGACGACGGGAGGAGGAAGGTTTCCCATGGCACAAGCGCGAAAGCGATCCTACCGTTGAGTTAAAAATATGTCTCCAACAGACTTGAATCCTCAACCTGGGAGGGCAACACCCGGTACCTCTGGACTAGAAGCCATTTAGTTTGAAAAGTCCTTTTGAAATAGGTTTTTGGTAAAATGAAGGTTGTTACAAAAATCTAGTTTTCGGAAAAATCATAATTTAAGTTAATAAGTCATTTTTACATATAATGATATAAATTTTTTTACATATAATGATATAAAAGCTACTCAAACACTTTTTAACTAATTGACTCGATTGATTTTTCCAACTATAAAAGTTAATCCAAACATTTTTTTTATAAACTTATGTTTTTAAAAACCATAAGTCAATAAGTTCTTTTGCCAAAAGTCCTTTTAAATTTTAAAAAACAATCCCAAACACCATTTTAATTGAGAAATGGGATCTGAGTGCACTGTCGTCGTGAGGAGTTAAGTCGGAAATGAAAATAGTAGTTGGTTTGATAGAGAGTGTTGGGTGTCACACGCCCCTTCGCGGCTGTTGGATTACAATTTCATGTGACCCACCACACATCTACAAACGTTGATTTTTTTTCTTTTTTAATCGACATAATATTCTACTCGTAAACTTGAGACACTTCTTAGAGTTATGTCAAAGACCCTTTAGTAACTTTTTCCTTTTTATCAGAAAATCATGACACTAGCACCCAATTCCATTTCCATAAATTAGGTTGACGAAAAAATATATTTGGTGATTATATAAGTGTTTTTCAAAATAACTAATCATTGATCATTATCATGTTATGATTATGATCATAACATGATCATGATGCATGTAAAGCAACAAAAAGAGACATGCATCGACAATTATCATATTAAGATACTCTAAAAAAATCAAGAATCATCATATTTATGATACTCTCTAACGACATATATACATAAAAAAGAACATTGAATATATTGCTTCTCATACTAAAATTTTAAAATATGAGATTGAGGGCTGCTTCCATTAATGCATCAAATGCTGACTTTCAATTCGTACACAATAGTTTTTATCCGTACACAACATTTTATTCTTAATATAGTTATACAATACAACATTTTAAAGCATAAATTGTTATGTATGGAAAAATTTTGTTGTGTACGAATCAATTTCATCTAAAAGTGTTTTCATTTGTCTCTATTAAAATTCAATTAATTAAGTGTCCCCTAAACCAATCAATTAGCACTTCATTGAAATGGATCTAACAATTTTTGCACAATGTGGGACGCCACATCTAAGTAAATGCAATGCAATAATCTCTCCTGCTTCAGTTCTTATACACAAAAACGGAAGAATATTATTTCGTAACTGAAAGTTTGTTTGACTCAAAAGTCAAACTTGATATAAGGTACTTGGACCTGTAATCTGTAAAGAAGAAAATGCATGATGTAATGAGTACAGTTAGAATAATAAGCAAAAGCAAATCAACCCTAAAAACTATTAGACAGAAAATTCATCACAACAATTCAAAATTTGCATGAGTATCAGGGATCTCCTTAATTAAGATCTGCATCCACAAAGAGTAGAAAGGAAACAATCTCTACAAGGAAGAAGGAGTTGCTGTAAGGTGGTAGTGGTAGTGGTAGTAAGCTTAAAGTTGTTGTACGAGTTTGTAATAGAGCCAGGTTCAAGTTATAATTAAACAATTGAAATATTGAATAGCATACATCCAGCAATTGATATGTTACTCGTATTTTCTCGGTCTATATCTATAAAAAGCAAAATGGTAAATAAAATCCTTCGTGTCTCCAATTGGCGGCCTATGCATATAAACTATGCAAAATAATTCAATCACCAATTAATTTTTTAGAATGATGCATACCGGATCACTAGTGATGACTTTAAAAAGACTAGATCATGCTTTATTTATGTAAGTGAAGCTTAAGTTGTTGAAAAGTTAAGTTGTAATCATACTATACCTACAAGAGGGAGGTTTGTATCGGGTGCATGCAAGTTGTTCCTCATCATATATATATCACCAATAATCTGCACAGGAGCAACGTCCATCTTGGAAGGTATGGAATTGGTAGGCGTCTCTCACCATTATCAACCTATCTTCAGAGCTCGAGATTAATTTCATAAGATTGTGGCAATCATTAGATATCTTCCCTGAGTCCTTAATGATATGGATTGGTATCATTTTATCTGTGGTCGATAGGGCATAAGCTAATCCAAGCTCTTCGCAGTGATAACCATCTATATTATCTCCCTTCATTCCATCCTGATCAGGACGAATTTTAATATCAGCAAACAACTGCTTCATGAATTCATGAATCTCAATAAATCCTGGATCTCCATTGTCTACCGAAACAAGTGAAAATGTTTCATTATCGGTTTCCATCCAACCACCCCCACGCTCTTCTTTTATATCCATCAATTCACCAACTTCTGTGACTCCACAACACTTACACACCTTATTTGCCACGTCATCAGGGATCAACTCTGCAACTCGGATGCCTAGAGTATAGTTTTGATGAGCACGACAAGCACTGAGCAAGGTTGTCCAAGCAAAGATATCCCATTTGCTTGGTGTTGATAAAATGAAACTTAAAGCTTCATTTAGTTATCCAGCCTTGATTAGCATGTTAATGATACACATATAGTGCTCTAAACCAGGTTTGATACCCTTCTGTTTCATTAACTCGTACAAATAGTAGAACCCTTCTTCCACAAGCCCCACATGTCCACACGCACTAAGAACACCCACGAAAGTCTCACAGTTAGGATCTTCCCCGAATTCCAACATTTCTTGAAACAATGCCAACGACTCGTTACCAAGGCCATGATAGCAGTATCCACATATCATCATATTCCAGGTTACAATATCACGATAATTAGTCATATCTAAAAACACCTTTTCCGCAGCTTTAGTGTCGCCAGTCTTTGAGTACATGTTAATCAAGGCATCCTCGACAATCTTATGACCATTGAATCCAGTCTTCTCTGTAAGTGCATGTAACATCTTTCCACATCTCATAGAGGATAATTGAGCACTAACAGTGAGTAGGAGAGAAAAGGTAGATTCGTTTTGAACAACATCCTCATATTGCATTTTAAAAAACAGCTCGAACGACTTCTCAAAGGACTTCTCGAAGGACTCGTGTTCCGAGTAAGCAACCAACATTTCTGTGTATATATCCGTGTTTCGAGGTTCAAACATGTCAAAAACTTTTCTAGCACTTAAAATCTCTCCACATTTTGCGTACATATTGATCATTGCTCTGCATACAGACTCATCAAACTCAACATCACTATTTAGCAGCTTGATGTGAACTTGACGCCCCAAGTCTAAATCTACGAGGCGAGCACAAAGACCAAAAATTACAATATAAGTAGCTTTGTTCCACTTCCACACCATATCTTCTTCAGCCAACATTCTCCTTGAGATAATCAATGCCTCATCCAAGTAACCTTTTTCTATAAGTCCAACCAAGATATGATTATAACTGCATGTATTCAATTGCAATCCAGGGTTACTAAGTAAAGCCTCCATAGCCCCTACCACGTCTGACAGCATGGAATACAAGCGTACAAGTGCAGTTTTCACGTACTGATTGAACACTAATCCAGATTTAAACAGGTACCCATGACACTGCCTGCTTAATGAAAGGTACTTAATGTTTAAACAAGATGAAATCACCAATCCAGATATATACTCGTTAGGCAGGCAAGAGTCATTGTGATCTGAAATCATTGATTTAAACAATCTAACAACTTCAAAATCAGACCCATTTTGGAAATTCCCCGACATTAGAGCATGGCTTGCAGATTTCAGTGGTTCGCATTTTGAGTAAAGATTGATCAGGGCATTAATCTCGGGTGTGTCATCTCGAGAGCACTGATCAGACACTATGAAACGAGATTGAATTACTTTGCTGAACTCAAGGTTTTTAGTCCCGCCTATATATCTTAGGAGCTTACCATTTTGCTGTCGAAAAAGACTAGGGAAAAGTGTTGGCCGCATCAGGACAGACATTACTATAAATCCACCTCTGTTGACCGATCCTTGTTTAATACTGTATAAAATTTGACATAGATTAGATACTTCCATTGACTGTGAGAATTTATGTTAATTAATCATTGTTGTATTATGATCATGTTTCTTATATCAAAACAGCTACAAAATGAAAATACTTATCCTAAAAAAAGAATAGACTATACAAGACTGAGTTAACCCAAATGGTTGATTTTATTAGGCTGTTTCAAATGCGGAAATTTTCCGGGTACCGGATTTTGATATCCAAATCTCTATCGGAAATTTCAGAAACAGATTCCGCTAGCAAACTCAGATAGCTGAAATTTCTATCATTTTCGTCAATAGAAATTATTCAGGTGTATCAATCCCATAGATGTATTTGATGCAAAATTAAGTATTTACTCATAAAATTCCCAAAAATAAGTCATCATGTTATGCTAGCAAGCAAAGAAAACAACAAAAACCAAAAATAAGTCATCATGTTACGCTAGCAAGCAAAGAAAACAACAAAACAACATACATAATTAAAGTGGTTCGGTCGATGTGACCTACGTCTACATGGAACATGAAAACTCTTTTCTTCACTTTGTTTGGGGTCTGGTATTCATTCAGATCACCAAATTCAAGAATCAAGAAACAACAACACAAAAAAGAAAGATCTGATCTTAAAAACCACTTAATTCAAATGAAATTGACCATTCGTCTCAAGATAACGTCAATTTGAAATGGCTAGTCTGTGTGAAAGATAAAGATGATGAAGAATTTGACTAAAAATATTTTTCTTCTTCATTCTCTTAAACTAATGCCAATGCATCGAAATAAACAAGCTAAATGGCTAAAGATAGCAAAACATGGAGATAACGCTAAGGACGATAAAAACATGGGCTTATTATAATAAATAAATAAATACATGAAAAACTAAAAAGCAGTAAATTGTAATCGTACGTAGAGCTAATTTAATGCAGGAATCGGCCTTAGAGCCTCGGACACGTATAGAAGCACAAAAGTCTTACTCTTGAAAATCCTTATAGATGAAAACAGAAGTACGTACGTGGGACAATAGCATGATTATGTTCTTAAAACTTTCTCACTAACTTATGCTGGCATACACACAAGCGAAATTGAGAAGGCAAGAATCAAGAGCACTAAATAAAGATTATGATTTAACAACCGGTTAATCCAAAAAAATCAGAAAAAGCCTTACTCTCAAAAGTGATTATAGATGAAAAACAGAAGTACCTGGAGCAATAGCATATACTTAACTTTCGCAGACATATACATACGTATCGCTGCAGTGACGGAAGCGAAGGGTGAGGCGAAATTTAACCTACTAGATTGTGCCTGCGTAAACCAGCCGCAATTAATTAGTAGCTTTCTAAAGAATTGTTTTTTAGAAAAATAATTATTAGATTTTATTAATAATTATTATGTAATAAAAAATTATCATTTTTAATTAAAATATTAATTTTTAAAATTATATTTATATTGTTTGTTTATATATTTGATATAAATTAATTATTATCAATCTTTAGTTTAACAAATGTAAATTAATTTATATAGATGAATTTAATATTTTAAAATCGTTATTTTGTTACATATTAAATTTTTAGTTACATTTTTTAATTTAAGTCCTCAAAATTTTTACAAGTATTAATGATTTGTTATATATAATTGTTTTGTACAAAAAACTTTGTATCTTATACCTTTTAAAATTCAAGATATTACTAATATGTTTAATAATATATATATATATATATATATATATATATATATATATATATATATATATATATATATATATATATATATATATACACGATCAAATGAGAACACTAAAAAGGTTGAGAACATGATAACAAATCTGACCTCTTCAAATATTACGATCTAAGGCTAATATAATTTATAGAAGTCATGAGATGAAATTGTAAATTTCTAAAAGTCATGGGACGAGATTGTAAATTTTTAATAGACTAAAGGGTAATATGGTCATTAAACATTAACCTATTTTGTCAAGTTGCTGGAATCTCTCTCTCCCCCTCTCTTTCTCTCTCACTCACGTATCCTTCTTCCTCTCACTCTCTAAATACAAATTTCAAACCTTTAAACTCTAATTGAGTCGTCACCACCATACAACCCTTCCCCGACCCTTCCGTTTACCTACTTTGATCGTTGTTACTGGGCTTTCGTTTCCCTACGGCCCTTTAAAAGCCAACCAGTTTCAGTTTTATTCCATCTTTCCTTCTCAAAACCCTAAGAATCTATCAGCCCACCCTATGTTGACCACTCTCAATCGGGCGACCATCTCCACCTCTCCCACACCGCACAAATCCTTCTAACATCACCACCACCACCTATGTGACCGTCGACACCACCATAGTACCACTAGACCACTAGAGGACCACCAGTAAGCATCGACTATCGTGTTATGCAATGATCGTCTAACCATCCATTAACCATAACCTCTCACCTCAACAACCACCACTGTTTTTTTCTACCCTTAAGCAGACAACTTTTGACATATTTTAGGTTTTGGCCTTTCTATTTTCAGGTTCTGTTTTACATTCTGGCTTGATTTTGTCATATGTTGGTGGAATTTGTGTTCATATGTAGTTATGTTAAGGAGGATGCCCTTGAGGTTGTACTTGAATTTTTTGTTGAGCAATATTTCATTGTATCATTCAAAGCTTAACGTTATAGGTTATATTCGTAGTTCTTTCTTTAGGAATATGATGTATAAATGAAGCTAATAAAAATAGATAAATCAAGTTATATGAATAAGACTTCAATCATGTATAAATAAGACTCTAATCATATAAGAATTAAATAATATGATTTTTTTCATTTATGATTATTATGTATTTTCGTCTTTGTGTTGTATTTTCTTCCTTTATGATTAAAATTGTAACAGATTTATGTTTCTACATTTATACAGTGAAATCCAAGATCTTCTGGAATATAATGTTGGAATGGCCGTGTTCAAGAAAACACGATAAAGTGGAAATGTTGAAGACTTATTCATTTATGATTATGGAATTCAACCGAACATTGTAAAGTGACTTATCCATTTATGAATTATAGAATAATAGTTAATTATTGTATTCATTTTTCTGTTTGAGTTGTATTAATTTTGATTATAAGGAAAATAGTTAATTAATATATTGTAATTTTGTTTTGTATTATTCATTTATGATGAGATGTATAATCTACTTATTTATGCAATGTGTATCATTCATTTATAATTATAATTTTATTGAAAACTTTTTATCTAAAAGTTGTGTTTTATTCATTTAAGATTATAATATGATTGTATAGAAATCTTTTATATCCAAATTATGTTTTATACATTAAAGCTTACAACAATATTCATATATGATTACAAATGTGTTTTTAATATGTCGTTAAAAATATTCATGTGTTGTTAAAAATATTTGGATAATATGATAAATTCTTCAACATTTTTAATATGTCGTTGGTAAAAAAAATAAAAAAATAAAAACGGTTTTTTTAAATCATGTTAAATGATATTTTATTAATCTTGTTAACTAAAAAATAAGTTTACTACATTCCTAATATCAGGGAAAATAAATACATCACATAATTAAAGAAACTAATTAATTATCATAACTTATCCATATTTAATTACATTTGTCAAATTACTTTTATGTCCTTATGAAATGATTGGTCCATAATTATTGTCGCGTTCTCAACCTTTTAGGTGTTCTCATTTGATATTTTCCCTATATATATATATATATATATATATATATATATATATATATATATATATATATATATGCCTAGGTTATTCTATTCTAACTAATTATTGTGTTATTGTATGAATGATTGTAGGCCAATCATTTTACTTATTTTAAGAAAGTGATTATTACATATTATTGAATTAAATATAATTGAAAAATACCATCTAATTTAACTAGAAGGGTATTTTAGTCAGTTAATATAGATTTAATAAAGGAAATTTGCATATTTTAAGGAAAATTGCATATTTTAAGGGAAAATAGATTCTATTAATTTTAAAAATCTGATTGTATGGATGATAATTCTCCTAATTCGGAAATTCTGACGGAATATGTTTATCAATATATAGAAAAATAACAAAAATTATTGAACCATACAAGAATACACATTCTGACATAATATATATTTTGATTTAATGAACTTCTTGAAGAATAACAAAATTTTAGATACAAGTTAAAAAAATTTCATTACATTCTTAGAAAAGAAAAAAATTTATATACTATTCTATGAGAATGTTACACTTATTAATAACAAAGAAATACAAATATATAAATCATTCTACCAGAATATACTATTACATATATTTCTTTTTATTATATTGTATATTATTCTGCTAGAATAATCCATTCTTTTTGGAAGATTGGTGGTCATTGTTCATCTTCATCCCGTAGAATGTTCATCTTCAAGATTCTATTATGACATAATCGGAATTCAAGATTCCATTCCAGGAGAATGTTGTAAGTCTCATATGTATCCTTCCCAGCCAAGAAAACAAGAACATTCTTGTTCTTGATTTCATGTATACCTGCAAATGAGAAATACAATCACTCATTGTTATTGCTTAATCTTCTTTCCATGGCAATTTCAAGCAATAAACACCACATCGAATTCTGTCAAGCAAAACAAACAATTTCTGTAAAACATTAACCCCAAAAATCCATTCCATTTATCCATTTCTATCAAGAACAATCAAACCCAAAACAAAGGAAATTAATACGACTTATAATCAACAATTCAGAAAATAATTTGTAGAAATCATCGCTCATTAAAAACAGAAAAAAAATCAACTCAGTTAGAAACAACCTCAATACTATGCTGAGAAATCTTTGCATGTGGATAATAAAAAATTAAGAAAACAAGAGAAGTTGTAATCAGAAAACGCATACATCAGATAATCAAAAAAAGGTTATATAAGCCCCAAAACCAATGAATTGATAATGATTGAAGCTCGAGAATCACATCAAAACCAATGAATTGATAATGATTGAAGCTCGAGAATCAAATCAAAATCGGTGAGATAGAGCGACAGTCGACAGAAG